CTAAAGACAGCCTGTTGAAAATGAAGACTGACCAACCACCATGATGAAGCAAAGCCTCTCACCCCATGGACAAAAGTAACATATGCTGTATCCATGAAGTCTTTAATATCCAAAAATGAAAATGTCTTACCTTATAAGATTGGAATCACCTTCACCATTCCACATGATATAATGTAAAAATGAAGTACTCTCATGGGAACATTTTGAATGTTGCCTGCTAGGCAAACATATATTTCATCAAAGGGAGTTCATGTCAGAATGTAAGACTCACAAAAATAGAGATTCAGCCTGTGCTAGTCAACAACTCAACAGTCAGCATCTGAAATGAATACAGGGTGAATGAATGAATCATGTAATGGAGGTCATAAACATCTAAATAAAGACCTCAGGACAAGATGAGGATGTCCGTTGGTTACACATTCATCTTCCTTATTCATCTTCAGAGGTCCATTTCAGCCTGTCTTGCATTGGATACACAATGGAGTGCCTAGTGAGGTGAAGTTTCTGTACACTAGACTGCAAGTGAGCAACAGTGAACTCACAAACACTATTCACCAGCAATCACATTGCTCAATACTATTGATCACGTCTGGCTTTTTGCTTTTTTTTTTTTTTTTTTTGGTTTTTCGAGACAGGGTTTCTCTGTGTAGCTTTGCGCCTTTCCTGGAACTCACTTTGTAGCCCAGGCTGGCCTCGAACTCACAGAGATCCGCCTGGCTCTGCCTCCCGAGTGCTGGGATTAAAGGCGTGCGCCACCACCGCCCCGCTCACGTCTGGCTTTTATAGGACCTGGAATCTCACAGGAAAGCATCCCATTTCTTAGATCTGACTCATTCGCTAATGTGTTCTCAGTAGATGTTGTTACATGAACAAACGAACCAATTGATGAACACATATGAAAACACACATGGAGAGATCACAAAGCAAAATTCACAAGTTCTTAAGCAACAATTCATAAGAAGAATCTCCAAATTAAAAAGCAGCATGTCTAGCTATGTCACTCAATTCCTGCAGATGTGGACAGTCTACAATTTCTGTGCATTTGGAATGGCATACAGGACAGGAATAGAAGGAATGAGAGTTGCAAAGCGCCAGATATAGATGCTATCTGGAGGTTGCAGTCCACTGGAGCTTCTCCCCTCCCCTCTCTCTGAACACCCTCTCCATTTCTTCAAAAGTTGGCATCTAGGAACTCAGGATCAGAAGCACAGGCTCTTTAACTGAGCACATAGCTTGCTAAGTTAAAAAAAAAAAAACAATAGCTCTATAAGGCACATGTACAGCCTACATTTCCTCAGCTTTGATGAAGATGTCTGAAGACACTTCTTCATCTTAACATGGGGACTTTCCTGTCATGAGTGCCATAAGGATATTATAACTATATTGGGGAAGTGCCTAATTCTTAATAGATGCAATATTATATCTATAGGTAAATTCTATGGTGACTAATTTAAAGTAATTAAGCAGGGTCTTGCTTTAAATCATTAACAAATACCTGAGGTAATCAAATTTTAAGGTGAGCAGCTTTGTTTTGGCTCATAGTTTTGGAGACCCTTGTCCATGACTATTTGTTCTCAGAAGCTTATAAGGATGATGGGAGCACATTAGAGCAAAGCTTCTCATCTCATAGACAGAAAATAAAAGAGAGAAAGAGGAAGAGGACATCTCCTATAGTCATCCTCAAGGGCATACCTCAATGACTTAAGGACATCCCATCAAGCCCACTCCTTAAAGTACTGTGACACCTTGGGGACCAAGCCTTACCACAAGGGATTCAGGGTCCATATCACAGCTTCAGGGACAAAAGAAACTGTGAAGAAAATTGAACATGACTAGACAAGGGGTTTATTACATAACTTATACATTTGGAAAGCATGACAAGGGTGAAAAGAAATCAAAGTCATAGGAAAGGAATATGCATACAGGAAGACTCTTGAGAAGATGAAATGGGGCACATTGTGGGTGCTTGTTCTTGTTAAAATCATATTTAACACTTATCTCCAATACTTTTATATTACATTATTTATGTAGATACTAATTCTACCAGATTACAGGCTGACACATAGGCACACAATTGGCACTTTTGCCTTTGAAAATGTGCAGACACTCTTCCTTTCGAGAAACATCAGAAATCATATAACTTAATTCCATTTCAAAACATTGTGTGGGCTCCCATCTAAAATCACTTGGGATCAAGGACCAATGGTGTGCACGATCCAGAGCCTTGTGTTCTACTGACCATTTCTTTCCAGAATGATGGATGAGGTAGAGATAAAAGCTATAGCTTTTAGAGTAGTGACACATAGGAGCATTCTCCTGCTACAAGGGTTAAAAGCCTGACCTCCAGAAACTTCTCTGGCTTCACAAAACATTTATTGTTCTCATTGCACAATGGGATACTTTGCTACCAAGGTAGGAGCCTGCATACAAAAGGGCTAACATACTCATCAACCAATAGGTCTTCTACAGTGTTGTGACAAGTGAGCAGTGAGATTTGGGGGACTGTTTATTAAATTTATTAAAATTTCTCATGGTGGGCATTTACTATGTACATTGTCCTTCTTAGCAGATGTTATTTGTTTTGTTCCTGTTTTTTTTTAATGGTTTTCTTTTAAATAACTTGGATTGTGCTTTAAGGAGAAAAATGGGAAATGACAAGAAAAGCTTATTTAAATAAACAAGCCACTTTTAGAATGTGTTCTGGAAGCAGAACTCCTTCAAGCCAAAACCGAAATCGAGCCTGGCAGGCAGGACAGGACTTAAGGTCTTCATTTTACAGTCAAAGAAACTGAGTCATCAAGTGGCCAGAAAGTGAGAGTCAAGGCCAAGCCCTCAGCAGTTGGGGAAGATCTAACATAGAAGTTTTTCTCCTCTGAACAAAATGAGCTTGCTCCAGAGTCAGGAAGGACAAATGGGGTAAAAGCAGAGGGCATCTTCCATCAGCCTTTCAGCTGGAGAGTGGCAACACTGTACAGAGAGCATTCCAACTATGTAGATGCAGACAGGGATGACATTTTTGAATGCACAAAGAATCTGATTAATTGGGACAGGAGATCAAGTATCAACAGTCTTTTAAGGCTCAGAGCAAGCAGGGAGGCCTCCCTTGAATTTGCCAACCTCTGAAGTAGGCTGGCAATAAATAAGACTCAGGCGCCCAGGACTGAAGTGCTGATATGTGCTTCTTAGGGGGCAAGTCAAGAGTTCTTTATTGCTCGCCTGTGAGGTGGGAGATTACTATATTAGGCTCTAGGGAGGAGGGGGCACTGACCTGGAGTTTTGAGCCTCACATCAGGTCTGCTTTCTACAGAGGAAAGGTATTCTGACAGGTATGTGTTCCTATGGCTCACAGGGTGAGCATCAATGGACAAGGCTTCTGCTAGAATGACCAGAGATGACAGTGGATCAAAATCACAACCTTGTTCCTGGAGCATGGAAATGAGCTCAGATAAATAAACACAGAACCTCTAGCTACCATGATAGATACTCCTAGGGATGTTGGCTCATTATTCATTCACCCATCCTCTCAGCAAATAGCCTTTGAGTGTTACTCCATGCCAGACACTAGGCTAAGTGCCAGTGGTCAGGATAATTCAACTGGTTCTCACTTACTCATCTGTGAACTCCTTAGGCATTACTGAGCTGCATGTCCTAGTTAGTATTGCTATTGCTATGATGAAACACCATGACCAAAAGCAAGTTGGGGAGGAAAGGGTTTATTTGGCTTACACTTCCACATTACTGTTCATCACTGAAGTAAGAAGTCAGGACAGGAACTCCAACAGGGCAGGAACCTGGAAACAGGAGCGGATGCAGAAGCCATGGAGGAGAATGACTAACTAGTTCGCTTCCCATGGTTTGTATAATCTGGTTTCTTACACTTGATCTTATCCAGAAGGCCAAGAAGTAATTCAATCAGCTTTCTTTCTTTTATTTTTAATCTGCTTTCTTTTCCTTTCTTTCTTTCTTTTTTTTTTTTTTTGTTTTTCATTTTTTGTTTGTTTGTTTTTCAAGACAGGATTTCTCTATGTAGTTTTGGCGCCTGTGCTGGGTCTGGCTCTGTAGACCAGGCTGGCCTCAAACTCACAGAGATCTCAAACTCACAGAGATCCACCTGGCTCTGCCTCCCAAGTGCTGGGATTAAAGGCATGAGCCACCACTGCCTGGCCCAATCTGCTTTCTTATAGAACCCAGAACCACCAGCTCAGGGGTGGCCCCACCCCCAATGCGCTGGGTCCTCCCACATCAACCACTAATTAAGAAAATGCCATACAGGTTTGCCTACAGCCTGACTTGGGGAAAACATTTTCTCAGTTGAGGCTTCCTCTTATCTGATGACTCCAGCTTGTTTCAAGTTGACATAAAACTAGCCAACACGTTGTGATTGTGAACAGTAAATCCTGTAGATGTAGAACAAGGCAGAATTCATACTTTTATACTTGACCTCAGGGAACTAACCATTTAAGTTCTGAGGGGCATTCTGGAGGCCCATGCACCTTGGTTTTAAAACCTTGGACAGGTTGATTGGTTTCTCTGCACTTCAGCTTCCTCCCTAGTAACACAAGGATTATCCTACTCCTGCCACAAGGGTGGTGTGAGACATGGGGTACGATTTCCAATAAATACACTGAGTAAGCTTTAATCCAAATCTCATAGGATGGTGACTACTATTCCTGGGGCTGGGGGAAGGGCTAATAAATTCCCTCTGAGCTATTTACCTACAGACAAAGAAATCACCAAAAAAGCTGTATTAAGTTACATGCTAATAAATGAAGGGACAGGGGAATTTAATAAAGAGACCACTGTGAATACAGTGACTTATTGGGTGCAGAACACTGTTGGGGTTGAGCAGAAATCATTTCCAATTATATCTGAATGGCATTTGGGGGCTTACAAAGGCATTTTTGTGCAACATTGAACACCTCCACCAGTACTGCCTTGGCTCAGGTGTGATTCAGCTGCCTTGGCTCAGGTATGATTCTGTTAGGACAGGCTCTGCTTACCTTGTTTGCTCACCCTGAAGACAAGGAGCTGGACTCCTGTAGTCCCAGATGCTTCTACCTGATTAAAACAAAAAGTCACTGAGAGTGGCAGAATCTCTTGAGGGAAACAGCTCTCTGTAGATCTCTATGTACTTGATAGAAAACAATATCTGCATTATGAAAGTGCAGGAGTTGTTGGATTTTTTTTCATGCCATTACCATGTTACAGACACAGCACAGGCCCATTAATAATGGCTTTCTTTGCATAAAGTGAGTCCACCTTCTTGAGACTAAAGAGGAGAGGAAAGGGAGATACCAGAGGGTGGAATCCACTAAGATCCACCAGGAAGAGGGATAGGAAGGAAAAGCCACTTATAACGTCTTCTTGGGACTTCTAACACTTCTCTCCGACCCCCACCACCCGTGAACAGAATCGCTCAGAGCAAAGAAGGTATGGCATCACCTTGCCTCTCTGCAAGGGTCCAGTTCAGTTCCTGTATGTGTTTCACCACTTGGATAAGGCATCCTCTACTAGCATGCTCATTGTCTCACAATGATCTGTGTTTAATTTGGTCTGCATAGAGCAAAAGTTGCCTCATTCTGAGTCTGACATGTCTAACTGATGAGAATTTTCCGTCTCTGTTCAAAATTGCTTTTGGTTTGTGTCTTTCACTTTTTAGGGTCCTTGCTGCTGTTTGCATAATCACCATAGCAAAACTCCCTGCAATGACAACATTTGAGCACACCTGATGTCCTGCAGATGTTCTAAAAAGACACTTCCTGTGTTTACCTGAAACCTGAGGCTGATGACTCTCTGTTCACCCCTGTGGTATGGTGGTGGGAGGCCCAGGATAGGTTCCTCCTTCTTTCTCTACTAACGAAAAGTCTACCTCACAGCATACAACACTTGTTTTCTGAAGAAAGAGGGGTGATGGGAAGGAATGAGGGAGAAAGAAGTATTTTCTTTGTTTGACTTCCTTTTAAAAAAATTATTTATTTCATGTGTGCATGTATGTGTCCAAATGTATGTATGTCTGTGTACCACATGCATGCTGGAGCCTGCATAGGTAAGAAGAGGATGTTGGATCCAGTGAAATTGGAGTAATAGATGTTGTGAGACCCTTTATAAATGTTGAGAACTAAACCTTCAGCAAGACAGTAAGTACTCTTAACTACTAAGCCATCTTTCAAGTCCCAGTCTATGGCTTTCTTGTTGACAATCTTCTACCTACACATGTGGACCATTTTCAGCACAGTGACATAACCCTCCTGTGTCTAGTCAAAACAACATCTAAGTCTACATGAGGGCCAGAAGACTCAAAACCATATGAACTTTTTAAGAAGAAAAGGGAAGGGAGAAAAGATACAAATTGGGTCATCTCATCCTTCCATTGCATCTAATTTTAGACTTTCTTCATTTGTATATAACCCTGATGCCCATCGTGTTTTGACCTGTTAATACTCTTCTAATTTAGCTTCCGCAACCACTGAATTATAAAGTTAGCTAATAGCCCAGAAGACCCTGACATTTCAGGGATCATATTTAAAGAGTCCCAGGAAGGAAGTCAGGACCTCACAATGCAGAGAAGAATTATACTAAACAGCCTCTATTCTTCAAGGGTTCCTTCTCCAGGCCTCTGTCAGCTTTTCCCTCCTCCAGGCAGCCTAACTAGCCACTCTCCACATAGAAGTTCCCAGAACACTTGCTCACCTGCTCTCCAGAGAAGATGGCAGCCTGATCAGTTACTCTGAGCTCCTCCATGTACTTCCCATAGTTTATGCAAATATTTCTCCAAAGATGATTACTTCTACCAGAGAGAATCTTTTCCTCCATTACCAGAAGAATGAGACTAGGAATTGAAAACTGCTCTCCATCTAAGATTCTAGTGGGGACCATATAAAGGAAGAAGCATAAATCATCCTTTTAGGGCTGGTAAGATGGCGGTAAGCAAATGCCTACACATTGTGGAAGGAGAGAACTGATTCCTATAAGTTGTCCTCTGACCTCCACATACACACTGTAGCAGGCATGTATGCACATACATGCACATAAACACATGCACATGCACAAAAAAAAATAGAAATGCAGCAATCCTTCCTAAATTTAGTACATTTCAAGTCACTTTTAAAATTATCCATATAGCTCAGGAGGTCACAGAAAGTTTCTAAGAAACTTTGACTTATCACTATGGCAGATGTCAAAGGAAGGAAGCAGTATTCCAGCCCCCTCTAGCTCCAAGTCTCAAAGGCTGAGCCCACAGCCTGTCTCCCCACTCCCTCCAGCCGCCACACTGACTCATAGCCTCCAGTCCCAGAGTGGGTTTCCTTCTTCAAACTGTTTATTTATTTGCAGGAATTCTCACAAGGCTAATGACAAAAAAAACTGACATTTGTCTAAAAAAGCTCAGATGGGGAGAAAATGCAAAGCCCCTGAAGGGACAGTTGTATGAACAGGAGAAAGGGGGTTTAAAACCCAGCTGTAAACCAGAGTAAAAGGTCAATGTTAGAATCTGACCGGAGACAAGTTCAACTACAGTTGATCTATGCAAGGCCCAGACACTTGCAGAAAAAATGTAAATAAATAGAACATACAACTCCATTTGTTGGCCTGACAGATGAGTTCTCTCTTTTAAAATCCCCTTTGTCATTAACACAGAAAAAAAAGAAAAGAAACCACATATATTCACACATACGTAGTACAGAGTTTCAGATACACCTCTTAAAGAATTGTTTATAACTTTACAAAGTACTTTAAAAAGCTCATCACAGGACCATTCACTTGTAAATTGATTACTATGAAAAAGTAGCTCCAATCATTATTATTGCAATATTAAGCACAATATGACATTTTATGCAAACATTTCCAGCATGGGATTGGAGACAAGGTTGAAAGGGATGATCATGGTATATCGAAAGGCAACAGAGACCAGAAAGAGTGCCTCCCTCCAGAATAAAGGCAAATTTTGCTCATCTCTAGAGGTGGTGTCAAACCAGATTCTAAACCCGAGCAAGGAGCAGAAATGCTTCCTTATCATGATAGAAGACTTTGTCACCCTAAGCCAGGGTCCTGCTCCTGTAATGCAATTCTCTGTGTGTGCAGGTGTCTTCTGGCTCATGTGCATTATCCTGTGGGAACTGGGGCTTAAGGGAAATGGCACAATAAAGTCAAGACTCTGCAACTGTGATTGCTCTGAGCAATAAATTGTCCTTTGTCTTTGCCCCATGCATCTGTGTCTTCTACCCACATCCACGAAGCTGTGGCTGCCAGGTTGTTTACTTATGGTTAGGGAGAAATCCAAGTCTCTTAGCTGTTCTTAGCACTGGGATGTAATTGTTACAGTGGGTATGAAGAGAGGAGCATGAAGGTAAAAGATATTGAAGTCACTTTGGCAAGAAATTAAAAAATATATTAAAATATTTTCCCTACCTTTTCAGGAATATTTCTGTGACTCTACTCAATTCCTAGATATTTTTGGTCAGTGGTTTTAAGAAAGTGTAAGAATAGAGAGGAAAACTGAGAGAAGAGGAAGGCTATGGGTTTACTTCCTATCAGAAAGAGTCCAGATAAATCATTAATAAAACAGAAGAGAGCGGGGCAGGGACTCTTAGGTTTAGGGATAGCGGCAAGCTACATGTGAAGATTCTAAGAAAAGTGCTTTCAAGAAAAGTAGATGAAAAGTTAATCCAGTATAAGAACAGACAGGAGATATTATAAGTAGCATTGGATGGCAGAGATATAGATAAAAAGAGAAATGAAAAAAAGCAGGCATGAGGTTCCCACTGGGCATTCTAAATAGGATCTCTTTTGGTTACTTGGATGACTCACTAAAGGTTTAAATGTTTTAATTTTCATTTGTCATTGTTTCCAAACTGCTATTTTTTTCTATGAATCCATTTCACACTACTGTCAAGAACGGAGCCAATGAGCAGAGACCCATGTGGGTCACAGGTGCAAAGCTGATGAGCAGGTGGTTTATGATAGGTGCCAGGTTTACTTTTACAAAGGAGGAATCTGTGACAGCATGGAAGTCTCTGGCTTAAGCATATGATTTTATAGGGTGCCATTTGCCACACTAGATAAAGTATCAGGCTTGAGAAGACTTGTACAGTACAATCTTGGACGTGCTGAGTTGGGAGTGACTAACTGGCATGCCATGTGGGTAGCCAGGGCTAGAATCAGTAAAATAAAATGGCACCTATAGTCATGGGACTAGATGGGAGATTTCTGCCAAATGTGGATCTCTGCAGCCTTCTACAAAAAGACTGAGAAGGGACAGAGGGAGCAAGAACTGGGAGAAGCGAGTTCATCAAAGCCGCAGAAAGGCTACATCAAGAAAGAACACCTGCTGCCATTAAGACGCTGGAAGACAAAGACTAGGAATGTTCTGTTAGTCTCCAGTCAAGACAACACTTAATTAACCTTTAAACAAACACTCGCCCTTCTCTAAATGGTAAAAATAGCAAGAGGAGATATAATGCAAAACACTTTTTAAAACATGGCCATATTTCAAAAGAAGGTGTATGGCCCTGCACACACCACACATGGGAGAAAAACACCCAGCAATAAGTGGGAGGGGAGTGAGGCCTGCAGGGCTCTGGGCCAGCAGCCAGCAAGGGCAGCCAGCGGTTCACATTTGAGATGGAAAGAGGCCCATGGAGGTGGATGAAGGGGCAGAGCTGAGCTCAACCTGTGAAATCTGGAGCTGAGCAGGGCTCTCTCAGCCAAGAAAATAGAGAAGCTGTTACTGTGCCCACTGCAAGGGCTGCTGTAGATACCAGAGTGCCCTTTGGGTCAGTGGAGAGCAGACAAGGGCCAGAGGCTGGCTGTGTCCTATGCAGATCTCATGTAACTGTCCCCTCTCCAGCCAGACTTTATTCATCTCTGTCATCAGTAGGGAGGCCCAGCTGCCAACCCTGCACCAAATGCTAAATACATGCTCACTGCCAAGGCCATGCAAGTTCAAAGTCCACAGCTAGCAGTTCCTCCTTATACAAGATGTCCATCTTGCCTCCACTGGGCCCAGCCACTCTCTAGAAGGTTATGGGAACAGCTGAGACAGTATAGCAGTGGCTCTGATAGTGGTCATAAGTGAAGGACATGGAGATCTGAGAAGGGCCCTGCTGGCTCTCCACCTCTCTCCCCATTTAACTGCCCGAAAGGTTTTGGTTGGCTTTCAGATTCTTGCCCTGATTATTTACCATATTTACAGACCCCTTGAGTCAATTCTCTTAACCTTGTTAGAGAATCAATTCTAAAACCTTGTTAGCCACACGGTATCTTTCAATTGAAAGGAAACTTCAAGAGGATGTTAGGGGAGGTTCAATGTTCACAGGCCCACTGTTCTAAGGCATCATAGAAGAGAAATAGGAAGTCATTCACAAAGCCTAGAGACTGAAGCTATGCCCAGGGAGTGCTGGTGGATCAGGGTTAGACAGGGTGTTCTGGTTTTCAAAGATCCAAAAGTTACAAAATCTTTATAATTCATAAATATTGTAATTTTAGCAGGACTTAGATAAACAGTATGAGAGTTAGCCAAGCATTAACAAACACAAAATACACTTCATTAATTTACAGTAGTAGCCATATTTAGGGATTCTTAATCCAGCTCGTGTTCTTGTAATCTGTTTGTCCAAATAGTTTTGCTTCCCATATTGGTAGCTTCATATGCTACAATAACAAATTAAACCTCAGACATTTAACCACACAAATTGGACAGCTACCCCTACACACAAACCCAGTAGGTTACCCTAATACACACATCCAGAGCAGGTCTGAAGTGAAAGCTCTGCCACTCTAGTCACTAAGCAGTCCAAGCTTAGTGAGTATTTCAGCTACATTTATATTTATAAATATTGAAAGGGGGTATGGAAAATCATGCACTGGGTTTTGTGTGTTCTGTCCAGAAGGAGCACATGACAATTCGAACTTCACTGGCCAAACCAATCACATGGCTGGGCTGATTTCAAAGGTAAAAATGTAGTGCAGAGGGAAATATTGAGTGAACAGTCCTAATCATGGCCACATTTCCCTCTACAGCTTACAAGAAAGAAAAGAAAAAGAGGATGAAGGAGGCAGAACAACAAGGAAAAGGGGCAACAAAGGAAGAGGAGCAAAGAGGCGGAGGAGAATGGGGAGGAGAGAAGGGGAAGGAGAAGGAGGTGAGAAAGAACAAGAGGAGCAATTAGAGGAAAGGCAAAAGCCATCAAGGGACAAGAAGGCTTATGTTTTCACAGAAGATGTGTGATCTGAGTTGTCTACATCAGCCCATGAAGAATCCGATTCCTCTCTCTTGTAAAGCCAATAGATAATAAGGTGATCATGGAGATCCAAATCATCTCTATAAATGCTTCCCATACTGGCTGACATGAAGTGGAAAACACAATGAACCGCAGTTGTTGGTGGAATACAGATACATGTGTCAAAGTCTTTTGAAGTCTGCCTGCATGCTTAGTCAGTAACCTCATTTTCAAGACCTGAATCTTACAGATACACAAACAGAACAGCAAATCACCTAATGGAGGAGCTGTCACTCACAGGGTGAGGCAGAGAAGTAGCCACCCACCCTGGTCTTCTCCTTCTTTCCTCCTTCTCTTCCTCCTCCTCCTTTCTAGGTCTACTCACTTCAGCTATGGCTACCTTCAGATCAAGCCATCAGGTAACATTTCAATATGCTGCGCTGGAACTCGGGGCTGTAAGAGAAAAAGCAAAGGACGTGAAGGTAGGAGAGGACATGTTGGGAGACACCCAGTGGGAGTAAGGGTGGGTGTTGGAGATAGATATGATCAAGATACATTGTATACATATATGAAACTGTCAAAGAATGAATAAAAACCATTCTAAGTTTTTCATTTTAAAAAACTATTAAATCCATTTGTTAGCAAATCATTTTCTAACCATATGATACAGAATTTATAATAATAAACTAATGAATAATGGGTGAATATTTAGGATATATCAACAGGAATGACTAAAAAGTAACGGCTGTAAACTTGTGAATTTGGTCTGAGACAGGAGACCTGACACCTGTGTTAGCAGAAGTCAGTGGAACTCCTCCAGACATGCTCTAGAACATTTTCTCCTTATGATGGTACAAACCTCATATGTTACACATGGACAGCAGACATTCCAAGGGCTTCATGAGTTCACAGGTGAGTTCACACCCTCCTTCCTATGAAAGGAGGTCCAGGAGACCAGGAACCATGCTGTTGCATTTTCCATTCAGTCTGTACCACACTGCTCCACTTTATAAATATTGAACCATTGGCTGTTTGTAAGAATGAGCTAGAAATACATGCAAATGCAAATATCATTGCTTTCTCCTATAGTCTGCAGAGCCTAAACTGTCAGTCCTGAAGAAAAAGTAGTCATTTCAACAGGGAATGCACACTCCTCAGGTGAACAGATGCCAGTTCCACCTGTTCAGGGGAAAGAATTATCTCCAGACCATGCTGGGTAAAGACTGAATGTCACAATCAGGGTCTGGTGGATACAGAGCCCAGAAAGAATGGGAGGAGCACGGACCAGTCACTTGCTTTTCTTGAGAAGCACATTTTACTTCTCTTATGAGTCCTCTGGTATCTCTAGGAATCCATCATTGGCTCCCTCTGATGGTCCACATTCCCTCACCTTTTACCTCTGCCTCTGAGACATGACAGCTGATATCTTAGCATTATTAATTGCTTCATGTATAATGGAATGTGGGAAGAGGTATTCCTCCCATCTCAGATCTGTAAGATACCTGGGTAAGGTAAACTTCAAGTGAGAAGACCCTCAATCTAGTATCCAGGAGGCATACATGATGGTGTGGAGAGGTGTTTGTGGTGGGAATTTTTGTGGTGGGAATTTTTGTGGTGGGAATTTGGAGGACATCATGCCTGAGGAATACAGCCTGGATGGAAAAAGAATAGATGGGTGCTGAAGTCATATTCTTCCCCTTTACTCTCCCATCCTCATTAACTTACAAAAATCACAAAGTTACATGCCTAGGCTAGACACATAGCTCAGTAGTTGAGAGAACCTGCTGGTCTTTCAGAAGACCAGAGTTGTTCCCAGCACCTACATGGAGCAGGTTATAACCGCCTGTAACTCCAACTCCATGGGAATCCATCTGGCCTCTGTAGATACCCAAACATGTGTGGGTACATATACACACATGAATAAAAACACAACTTTAAAATAGTCACCAAAGTTTACATGTCTGCTTGAAATTCTTTGATAACTAAACTTACAAAGAAACCAGATTGTTTTCCAACAGAATCAGTACAAATCTAAGTTGGTGTGTAGGTCTGCAGTAGCAGAAATAGAGAGGACCACGAGGGAAATGAGAGAGGATTGGTAGACACTACAAGGAAGGCTCCAGACCCTTCAAACTGTCCAAACTGAGTCTTCTTTATGCCCCAAGACCTGCTGATCTGCCTTTGTCTGTCTCAACTGAATTCTCAACTAAACATTTCTGAAAGGAGAAATTAAATCCTAGTTACCACTGAATTGTCACCACTCTAATAACTTTGCATATAATAGGTGTTTAATAATTGCTGATGCATTAAAATTCTTCATATTTCCCAGATCACTGAAGGCTTGACCATGGACTGAGAGAGTGCGGAAGAGTCATCAAGACCTTGAACTAGAAGGCACATTGCTTGGGTTTTCATTACTGCTCAGCTGTTTGCTAGTTATACCAACTGGGTAAGAAAACATCAAGCCTCTGTGAGCCTCAGATTCCCATTAAGCAAAATGGGCATTAAAATATAATTAAAGGGACAACGGAGATGGTTCAGTCAACAAAGCACTTGCCACCCAAGCAAAAGGACCTGAATAACATCCCTAGCACTTAAGTTAAAAAGTCTTGCCTAAGGCAAATTTCTGAATTGGAGGCCAGCCTAGTCTACAAAGTAAGTTACCGGACAGCCAGAGCTACACAGAGAAATTCTGCCAGTTCTGGAGAAATGGAGATGAGTGGATTCCTGAGGCCAATCAGCCTTGCCAAGTCAGTGATCCACAGATTTAGTTAGAGACACTGTCCTAAAACCTAAGATGGAAACTGACTAAGCTTCAAAGACACCAGGCATCAACCTCTGGCTTCCATGTACACACACACACACACACACACACACACACACACACACACACACACGAGCACATTATCAGTGTGTACATTCATACAAACATGTACATTGCACACCATACACACACAAAAAAAATTCTAATAAAAAGGCCATTGACATAGCTATTTGATTTGCTGAATCAAGTATAAAAATATTGGCTACAGAAGAGATTCATAAATTGCTACATGAATGATTTTTCATATTTCCATCACACCTGCGAAATTTAGATAGTAAAGGGCCAAGTTTCACAAGTCCGTGAGAATGTTGTCAGAGTCCAAATACCCTCACACATAGGAAGCACAGGCTCCCCCATGCACTCTGCAGCAACAGTCTCTGCCCACCTTCATCCCATCCCTGCTTCTCTTGAGACTCCCTCTGTGGGTGTCTGTCTCAGGACCATGGCTGTGTCTGAGCACCCATCTCTCCTGCCCTCCCCTCTTCCATCCTTTCTCCACCTCAGAGAATCTGCTTTACAGCCCTGCTCCTGCCCCCTTCTCCTGCCCTGTTCCCTGCTCTGACCCTGTCTTCGCTGCTCCGTGGCCCTGAATCTCCTCACTCTCTTCAGCTCTGTCTACTCCTTTCTACCTCTCACCTTCTCACTTCTTTCCTCTTTCTTCCTTCTCCTAAAACTTAAGTTTCTCACTTTAAGAAAGTTCAGCTTCCCATTTTGTCTCTCACAGATTGTGTTTTTGTGTTGTTTTAACAAATCACAAACCCAAAGTCAAATAGAATTTCCTGTATTTTCTTTATACCTTTTATACTTTGGCATTTTCACATGTAATATTTTTGTACCTATGATTAATAAACAAAAAATCATAACATTTAATGCATATATCTTGAGTTATCTCCCATCTGTATGTATCCTTTCCTTCCCATAGTCTTTATCTGCTCTGTGAGTGGTCTTGGCTTGTCTCTGGGCCCTCCCTGTTGTGGCTCTCTGTTGTCTACCTTTCCATCTGCCACACCTCCTAGTCAGAGGTGTTCTTAGAGCCTGAGATCTCATCCACAGAGTACCCATTTTCTTAAACACCTCCCTGAATTCCTCATGCTCACCATGGCTGCTTCTTACCAGGTCCCCAGATCCCAATAAAAATCCCCCTTGTTTGCTTTAAGCCGGAGCCAGCCAGACTCCTATTCCCTGAAACAGCAGGGCGGGAGAGACAGAAGGTGAAGTGTGTAGGCTTTGCTCTGCCTGGAGGAGGAGCCAGGCTCACTTTTCCCATGAGGAAATCAGTTCAGTGAAGGTCCAAAGCAAGGCTGCCCTAGGGCCCCACAAAACATGTGGACAACATTTATCTTTCATCAACCTCAAGATTTTTTTTTTGTTCTGTACTTTTCTGTCAAAATCACACGTGTTCACAGCAGAAAAGAAAAATGTAGACAGTATGAGAAACAGTAAATACTTCGAAAGGAAAGCTATGTAGCCTCTACCTCCGAGGGAGTGACTGCTATCATTGTGCCACATTTCTGCAAGCCTTTAGTTCATGCACTTATACCTTCACATTAATAAAATCATACTGGGTATAGAATTCCACATTTCTGCTCCTCTTAATGTTCTATTACATTTATTTTCCTTTGTTCTTAAAAGTTTTTTGTAAGTATGACTATCTTTTGGTGAGATTTGAAAGAAAATAAATCTTTAGGGGCTCCCCAGTTCATGGGAAAATTTTGAATGTTTTAATATGGCTCACCTCCCATGGAGACACCACCTCTTCCAACTCCACACTCTGGATGATGGGCAGGAGGGTGAGCAGACTCACGTTGGCCTCCAGGCTTTGTTTTTCTGGATCTAACACACAAGTGCTACTTCTCTTCTGGAAATTTCCCTTGTCCTGTGTTAATCATGCCCTACAACATCACACACTTTTCTTCTTAGGAAGCTTGTCCTTCTACTCTCCATATTGCCCTCAGTACACCATGACACCCCGAAGGGTGTCTGTTCTAAATAGTGTGGGACATGGTGGGTAGGAGGAGGGGGACAGAGCTAGAAAATGTGATTTTGCCTAATTTCATTTATCTATTGTCAAAAGAGAAACTTCTACAAAATTCCATGGCTCCAAGCAATAATTTGTTGTCTTCCATGAGTTGCAGGTTGATTGGGTGGTTTTTCTGTTGCCTGTGGTTTTAACTAAACTCTGGCAGTGGCTATGATTATCTGCAAACCCCAGTGGAAACAAGCTGAAACTTAGACATCTCTCTCTAGACATCTCCACATGGATACTTGATCTGTATCACTGCCAACAGCTGATAGATTAACCAGAACAAACACTGCATGAGTGAGGATGTGGACCCTGTCAGGGCAACGAACAGTGACCCTTGCAACCAGTGCAACGTTGGGTCTAAAATATGAAAGCCAGAGTAGATGAAGCCTAAGGCAGCACAAGAGTCTTACTGGGTACAAACACTGCTAAATTGAGAGTCATACAAGACCAAACCATAGTAGCAATCACTGGACCATGAAGGATATCGCTGGTCCAACCAGAGAGTCTGGAATTCTGTGCCAAGGTGGACAAGGCTACAACACACCAGCTATCTATGAGATTGAATTGCAAAACATAAAGAAATAACATGAGTTTTGTTAAAAATTAGAAATTAAAACCTAAAAATATAAGTAATGTTGCTTCTTTTCATTTGAGTTTAGATATACTTTCTCAGCACTCAAAGAAGTGTGATCAATCCTTAGCTAGAAACGTCTGAGAATTAACCAAATTGTTGCCCAGCTACCCTAACATGGCCTATACCTATAACCTAAAGGGCATGGATAATCTACCCCCATAGGCACTGGACTCCAAATGAGCAGGAACTGGCAAGGGACTCTGCTTTAGAGAGATCATTCAGGTAGTTGATTGGGGTGAGAAACCTGGAGACAAACACACTAGTTGAAAAGATGGAGATGCCAGAG